CTTGTTTGCCGCTCTACAATTTCTAATATGATATTGTCTTTCAGTAGTATCTCTCTGTCGCTTCTCTAGCCGTAAATTGAGTAACTCTACTTGTTGGAGTTCTAACTCCTCTCTAGTAGGTTAAGGTGGCTCAATGAGAACAAAAATCTCGTGTGGAGCAAAAGGGCAAAAGCTCATTTGAGAGCTATCGTCTTGAGTGATTCCTAGGTAAAAAAGTGGGTGGGTCCCACTGTGCCGACAAGGGGCTTAACCTGGCGAGTGAAAGCTGCCTGCCGGACATCCTCCCTAGGTAATCTCCTCGACACCTCGCAACCCATTTTGATAAAAAAAAAAAAAAAAAACTGTGAGAGCATGGCCTATCGTGTTTTTGCCTTTGTCTGGTTTTGTTCTTCTTTTCCCTGTCATCTTCGCCCTTTTGCTCATCCTCTTCTTCTTCTTCTCCATCAGGTTCTTCCTCGTTGCCTCCTTCCTCTTCTTTGTCTCTTTCCTTGTCATCATTAACGACGTTGTTGTTTTCATCTTCATCGTTGTTTTCTTTTTCTCAATCATTTTCTCTTTGTGTTGTTCTTCTTTTTTACTCCCGTTTTCCTTTTTGCTTGTCATCTCTTTCTTCTTCTCTATCATGTTCTTGGTCGCATGTTCTTCTTCTGTCATCGTTGTCTTGTTTTTCTTTGTGTCCCCTTTATCGAAATGATTCTTGCATATTGTGTAGTGATACAACCATGACTCCATGACTCGACGCAACCATGACTATGAAAGATTCTTTTTATTACTTAGAATATTGAATATTCGTTATATTGTTGGGACTTCAAGTGTACTACAAGTTAACTGTAAGTAGATTAATAAGACTTCCTCTTTTTCTCCTTCCTCTTCTTCTTTCTCGTTCTTTCCTTTTTTTTTTTTTTTTTTTTTTTTTTTCCCTCTTCTCCGTACCCGTTCTCTTTGTCATGGTGTCGCTCGTCCTTATTGTCGTTGGTTTCTTCTTTGTTGTCGCCGTCATTGTTGTCATCGCATCATCTTCGTCGCCCTCTTTATTTTCATCATTGTCTTGTTGTTTGTCATTTTTTGTCTTCCTCATGTTCTTCTTGTCCTTTATAGTCTTCGTCTTCCTCGGACTCTTATTGTCTTCTTCATCGTATTTTTTTTCACCCTTATCTTGTTGTGCTTCTTTGTCTTTGCCACCTTCTTTCTCTCCTATTTATTTTTTTCCTTTTTTTTTTTTTTTTNAGAGAGAGAGAGAGAGAGAGAGAGAGAGAGAGAGAGAGAGAGAGAGAGAGAGAGAGGAGAGCAGGTAAGTCTCCAACCGCGCGGACCTCATGGTACTTCCATCAATTTGATGAGCAGAATCGAATGAATCTACCGCTAGAACATGGAAATATACACTGCCACACTTTTTTTTTTTGTTTTGTTTTTTGAAGAACAAAATGCCCCACCCGTAGTCCGCCATGCGCGCATATGGATGGGTGGGTCGTGTTCAACAAATCCGTGCCACGTGGAGAGTAGCACGTTTGAACTCGGCCCCCGGCCGTTTGAACACGCGCGTTTGACTGCGAACGCGCGTTCAGACGGTCACATAGCCTTGAAGCTCAGAGTAAAAAAAAAGGGGGGAAGAAACAAATACATCCCTCATCATACGTCTAATACGTCTAGACTCAATGCCTCTGCTTTAGCCTATAATATGGCTCAACTAAACAAGAGTCTAACTCAGCCATTTAGCAATTGGCACAGTTAGCAATTAGTGCCAATTACCAATTTCCTTTCGGAGTTGACCGAGACCAGAAATTCCGTCTTAGTCCAGGCTTTTCGAAGCCGATATAACCCCCCACCGGCCCTTTGTTATCTCCTCCAATCCGACAGGATTGTCACTCGCAATGAAGACTTCACTATCCTGGTGTGGTGTTAGATTGACAACGCTTCATTCCTGAATACCATTGTGTTGGGTGTATTCCAAATTGTCTCCATAAGTATCCCCCTGCACACCAGGGCCATATAGCCCCATTCATCAGACAATTTAGCTTTAGCGGGCGGAAGCGCAACGCCGCAACCAGGATCCAGTTGTCTGACCATTCCCATTCGGGACCCCCTCCTTCTTCCCATTGCAGCTTGCACCACATCCGCAGTTCATCTGCCAGAGGGCAGAACAGCCATAGATGTTCTGTGGCCTCCCAACCCCAATTGCACCGCTTACCAGTCAAACTTAGTTCCATCCCTCTAGAGTTGAGCCATAGAGCCGAGGCCGTCATCGACGTGGAATGATCCCACATGAGACTCGCTTGCCTTTGTGAAGGGATCCTTTTGAGCATTTTCCGCAGTTCGTAGAAGTCCGGCGAAGGTTTAGTATCGCCCTGATTCTTCTGGTACCTGTTGAGTGCCACTGCTTGTGGTGTGGGCTTCTTCTGCCGACGCTGTGCCACTCCAACCTTGGATGAATACTGTATCAACGGGACCACCTTTCCCCGTGGGGGCTCGCACCCATATAGAGTAGGTTCCACCTGGAAGTCAGTTGCCAGATCTTTTAACAGTGTTCTTTGCTTAGATCCTGGGTCCTGATTGTCCAGAACACGAACTTCCGGAAGGTGCACGGATGAAGCTAACGATATTTCTTCCTCCCAAAACAGCTCGGTACCTTCCTTCAGTTGGCGCCCCATCGTCCTTGAGGCAGATCCGGGCCAAGAACTCTCAAACTTTTACTTGAGTCATGTGGGTGGACCACCCAGGTTCCCATAGCGTGTTATGTGCTCTCTTTCAGAAGGTCGGCCCAGAGAGGGGGCAGGGCAGCTATCAAAACTGCATAGTGCTCCTCCAATTTATGTAGTCTTGGCAGCTTCCTCCACAGTTCCTCTGTAGATAGCCAGTGCTGTTCTTGGACATCCCACATGTGATGCACCAAAAACACTCCTCTTTCTATTTATGGGGGAGCAAAATTCCCAACTCTTCCTTCAGTCCCAAACAGTTGCCCTGATGACTGCTTTATCAGGGGATTATCAATAGATATTATGTTTTTCTTTATTTTTTTTCAGTAAACGCTGCTTCACTAGGGTACCAGAGTGGCCCGGGTCCACTTGCCCGGCCGGGCCAAAAAGATTAAAAAAAAAAAAAAAAAAAAAAAATTGGTAAGGAATTTCGACGTGACCCTGAGGCAAAAGTTGTTCAGTTTATTTTTCTGCATAACATAGTTGTTTTTCGGATTTTTTTGATTTTGTTTGTCTTTTTTTTTTTTGACTGGGACCTTTCGTGGTCCTTGCAAGGCTGGGCTGCCCGGGAAAATAGGGTGACCCGGGCGGCCAGGCTGGTAGCCTAGTGTGCTTCATCTATTCTGCGGGCGAAAGTCCGGTTGCTTTTTTTTTTTTTTTTTTTTGAATTTTCTCAAATTTCCGTTGGCGTGTCTTGTCTCTTGAGAATGCTTTATTCTTTTTCCTCAAGCATGGAACAATTGTCAACAGAGAGAGAAGAGCAGCGCACACAGCCCCACTCCCCCGCCGCTCTAGCCGCGGTGCGGGGCGGGCTGTGGGAGCAGTGTGGCGGTGCATGCCTGCAATGTTCCACCCGGGCCCCGCATAGTGACTGGTAAACCTGCCGGTACCCAGACACACACACACTGTTCCCTGGGGGGCAGGGTAGGGCCACCGACCTGAGCCCCCAGTGTCCAGGTCCCTCATTACCTTGCGCCCATGGCTACACCTCAGTGTCAGCTCAAACTAACTACCACAACCTCTATATATATTATATAGTGCATACCCATGGAGACTCCAACCCACTGCCATCACCACCAAGTATATGTTCCAATCTACGCCTGGGCCTCGTCATCAGTCCCCTAAATCTACCACTATCTCAATCCTGATCCCCGTGTGGTTCCAAATCCGCCACCTTCTATACGCCTTACCACCTGTGAGAACTCTGATTACTCCAATCCCATCTCCCACCAGCTCCCTGTTGCCTGTAGTACTCCCACTAATCACCTCCCAATCACCCCCCTCAACTAGTGGGGTGGCCCTCCCCCTTCCCCCCTCCCCACCCCGGCATCAGCTTACAAGGGTCCCTATTCTAGTCCTACCTGGATCTGACTACCTTCCTGCCCCGAAAAAAATGTCCATACGTTCTGTTTGAATTACCTTCGAAAATCGGACTTTTAGAAATCGCTCTTTTGTTTTCGAATAGAACACACGGTCAAATACAATGTAAGTACGTTGTATTCGAATACAACATATGTACATTGTATTCTATTTTGTGGCATTTGAGACTTTTTTTTTTTTTCACTATTTCAAAATACGTTTAAAAAAAAAAAAAAAAAAAAAGAGTCGAAGAACAGTGCAATACGAACATCTTTTGCCTGAGAGGCTGAGAGTATTGTTGAAATTTGCTACCAAATTTGAGGGGAGGGGAGGGGGGGGGTTATAGATTCTGTCTCTTATACACATCTAGATGTGTATAAGAGACAGGAGAGAGAGAGAGAGTCTAGGTGAGATGTTTGAGATATAACCCGCCTGATGGTGGGACTCGAACACTGGACCTGCATCAAGGCAACCGTCGGACTATTTTGCAGAAGGCTGGTTTCGAACACCGGACCGGTACCGCGGGGCGATCAGACCTTGTTTTTCTGTTCACCGGAGAGCAGAGAATAACAGTGCAGTTTCTGACGGAAAGTACCAATGACTGACAACACGCAGTGAAACTAGCCGACGGGGAGGGTGCCAGAGCGAATCTCAAGCATAAATATGCGGTAGGCCAATGAATTTTTAGGATTTTTTCGAATAATTTGAAAAATAGGATCTAGCCTACCGGCCGCGGGCCGACTATACGCCTTCAGTCCTTTGGGTTTTGTGGATCGAGGGACCCCCTTGATGATGATCGGTTGGCAACCGATCGAAATGCGGCATAGGGGGAAGTCGCGGGCAGGAAGGAGGAGGAAGACACTGATGTGTCATGCGTTTGGGTTTTCCATGGATCAGAGATGTCACACGTGACAGGATGGTGGTCGCTACGCTAACACGACGGAGATGGGTTGCTACACATGTGGCCAAGAGGGTCACTTTGCGAGAGACTGCCCACAAAGGGTGGGCGGAGTTGGGACTAGTAATAATAGTAATAATAATAATAATGGGGGCAATAGTAATGGGTACTACAGATCGAATGGTTTATCGTGGCAACAAAAGAAGGATTTTGACGATATTGGATGGATGAGACAACTCTGTTCGGATTTAGCAAAAGAGAGAAAAAAAAAGGAGGAGCGTGAGAAGGAATTGGAAAGACAAAAGGAGGAGGCGGAGAGACGAAGAAGGGATGAAGAGATTCGTCAACAGCACAAGTCTAAGATCGATAGGCAGGCAGAGATACGGGACGCTCGTTTGATGTCGGTCATGACGTCACAGCTTAAATCACTGCACGATAAGCTTGTGGGGCAGATGAATGAAGTTAGATCGAAGGTGCAGTCCGGAGATCTGCAACGCGCGGGTGTCGAAAAGCTGCGAGAGGAGGTGCTGGAACTGGAGCGGAAACTGGCAAAGGAAGACAGCCCGGAGAAGGAAAAGGACGAACTCAGGAGGAAGCTGACTCAACTACGAAAACTAAAGGAGGAAAGTGATCGAGCTAGGGTAAAGAAAAAAGTGTTGGAGGAAGAGATGAGGTGGGAAATGAAGCAGATGCGGAAGGAGTTAGAGTTTGAAGAAGATCAGTTCGCTCCATCATCATCAGCGAGAGCTCCGCCGAAGAGAAGAACCGAGACTCCTGCGACACCATCACGTCCTCGTCGACTGAGACAACCGAACATGGGGATCCGGATTGAAGAACCCTCCACTCCGAGAACACCGGTGACGCGCTCACGGACCAGGAAGAATCCGGCAGTTGACAACGAAGCTCTGGTTGAGGGTTGGAGAGAGATCACGAGAGAGGGCGCAAAGACTAACGTCATGGACCTATGCATGAAGATGCGAGGTTATCTGCGAACCAGGTCGATGAGCGAGTTACAGTGCCTAGGTGATGAGGAGGGCATAGCCTACGAAACAAGAGATAAAACAATTAAGGCTCTCCTCTCGACGAAGATGCAGTTTGCCATCCGACACAAGACGGTTAGATCGGACGTTGAAGACGATCAGGAGGAGGATCCGGGAAGGGATCCAGATCTCGAAGACAACGGACCTTCGAACCTCGATAGACTCTGGGCTATGTGAGACTTTATGGTAGAACTCAGAAAAGCTAGAGTAACTGATCGATCCGTGAATATCTTAGTGGACGAAGCACTAAGAATGACTATCGTACTTCTTACGATGCACGACGCACTGCCATGGACGGACAAATTCCGAGACCTCTGGAGGGAGGAGGGGTTGGATTGGAAAAATCCGAAAAAATGCGTATATGCGCTGATCTCAGCTAGATGTAGGAAGATGTACATCGGCAGGACGGGGCGAGAGCTTAACCAGAGATGGAAGGATCATCTGGCATGTCGCCGAGGGAAGGAGAGCAAAGGCCAATCATTATACTGCTGGCTGAGAAAGGTAGGACCTGAGGAGTATGTAGCGATACCTTTGACAGCAACAAAAAACGATCCTGATCTTGCACGCATCGAGAAGTGCCTTATTAAACGTTGGTCCCCAACGCTTAATTACCAGGCGAACAAGCAATCGCGACCAAGACGAAGGAAGAGAAGGAAAGGCAAGAGAGAAAGTAAGGGGAGAAGGAGAGATAAGAGGATGGAGAAAGGGAGTATCCTCCACTTTGAGGACGGAGAAGGTGCATCCACTACGCGACTGTCTGACTACCTGGAACAAGCGTTCAAGAAAGGGCGCCGAGACATACACATTACAAGTACCGGCAATATCTGGTGTGAAGATTGGAAGGTCCTGAATCGTAGATTCGGGATGACTGTGATAGAAGTACGGGGTGTATCATGCCTTCTGAAGGAAGCAAAGAGGTGGATCGAACAAGGAGGTCAGATGCTTATCAAGGATCCGACGGAGACGGTCTCCTTCCCGTCTAGGACCAGGCGGGAACTCCCGGTGTTACTCTCACAACCATGGCGGAGGAAGTTGCTATGGAAGAAGGAGAGCCATGAGCTGACACATATGTACCAGGCGACTAGGGGCTTTGATAAGGGGAGTAGACAACGGATGAGAAATATTATTTCTCGGGGCCTAAATGAGAAACTAGGAATTAATCTGAGGAAGAGACATACGATCAGAATCCCGTATGATGATAGAGTGGATAGGAGGAGAATTGGTGAAGTTGCTAAGGCCAAAATTGTGGATCTGGGGCTAAACGATTCGATAGCAGACATCGTACGAAGACACGTCAGAGTTGTCTGGATGAAAAAACAGACAATCGGAGACGAGCTTCACAACCATAGAGACTTCGCGCGCTCTAATGGTAGCATTTGCGACTGTGAAAATAACCCTTTCCCTCTAGTGGAAGGACATGTACGATGCCGACTATCGGAAGTAGGGGCCCCGGATTTCATACTTAACGCAAGGAATATTCCTCCGCAACGAACGAGGGAGGTAAGACGGGGAATCCTAGCGGCAATCCTTGATGGCCTGGGTGAGATTTTCCGGACATCTGGGAAGTGCCTTACTGTACATTTGAAGGAAATTCAGCTATGTGTGCGCGAGAGGGAGACAACACACGAGGGATGCTATCACCTAGTGCAGGAATGGAAGTGGCGTAATGGACTCGTATGCATGCCAATGGATCGTAATCCGGGGGCGACATACATTGTATGCCCTGCAGTGTACGCGAGAGCTCTCCGAGACACCTTCTGGCATGGAGGAAGCTTCAGGATGTGCGCCATATCGACTGACATGGCACTTGAGACGTGCAGGAAGTGCTACCATGAGCAGGGCTTGTCGAAGTTGGGGTCTTGGTGCAAGAAAGGGGGAATCGGGGACGCTTATGTCATACCAAAAAACAAAGACCCAGCGAGATGGCGGCCTATCGCTCCTGCATGGAACTCACCTTCGAAGGTCGGAGCAAAGAAGGTGGCGAAAGCTCTGCAATGTATGCTCGGGAGTCTGGCAAAAGGTCTGCATTTCAACACGACTTCCTCTGAAGATGCAATCAGACGAATCCAGAGGTGGGGTTCAAAATCGGAAGAAGGACAGGGGGTGATGTCGGCGACCTTTGACATCAAGAACATGTTTGCTGAGCTACCCCACGAAATGATTCAGGAGTCTTTGGAATGGATGATAGGGATGATGGAGGCTAAAGGATACGGCAGGGTGAATGTGAACTGTTGCTGGAAGAAGCCATCCATGGGAAGACAGAGCAGGGATGGCCACTTCTCGGTCAAATTTGGCTACATACGCCAATGGGTTGGGTTTGAGCTAGATCATTCCTACAGTCTGGCCGAAGGTGAGCTGATCCAGCAGATTCAGGGGATCCCTATGGGTGGACACACAAGCTCAGCCCTCACATGCATACTCTGCGTAAAAAGTGAGGCAGAGTTTATGTATGAGTTGGGAACACTCCGCAAAAGGACGTTGGGCCTTAGACTCATGGATGACATGGTTTTCTTCGTCCGCTTCCTACGAGAGAAGATTGACACCATGTGTCAAGCTAGGGACATCCTCAAAAAACTAAAGGGATGTTACCCGCAGTCTCTCTCTCTGGAACGGACGAACGCAGGGGATGGGACGTTATCCTTCCTGGGATGCAAGATCTACGTGGACCAGGAAGGACCAAAGATCACTCCGGTCAATGACGAACAGACCAAGGTATCCATGATCACGAGCTATCTACATCGTATCGTAAGATGCTAAGACGATTCAGCGATAAGAGATCTCCTTGTGGCATGTCTCAGGAAAGAACTCCGCGTGAGAAACTACCCAGCACCTGTGATCGACAAGGTGATCCGATCGTTCGAATGTGATCAGAAGGTTAAAATTCTGGGATTGGGCCCCTCCATCCACTAAGGATGGACGTAGAAGAGGTTAGAGAGAGAGAGAGAGAGAGAGAGAGAGAGAGAGAGAGAGAGAGAGAGAGAGAGAGAGAGAGAGAGAGAGAGAGAGAGAGAGAGAGAGAGNCCCTCCCCCTCCCCCTCCCGCTCCCGAAATTAGCTATATTTCCAATCAAAGAGGTGAGGTCGGGGTCCTCTCGTATATTCCAGGGCCGCCCTCTCATAACCCAAAGTGAAAAGTTGTACCTCAAAATTTGTTGCACAACTCGTCCAAATCCACCACATACTTCTGCAGTGTAGCGAAGCGCAAATTGCCTGTCGTTGAGTCCTTGCCCAGACTCGAATAAGCTCCCCAGGCCCTCCAAGACTTGCGATTGTTGTTTCCAGCACTCTATTTCTTATTCCCTGCATCATAACGTCCTTACCCTGTCAAGCTTTTTCATTCCAGAGTGTCCAAATCGCCCACAGGGCCACCCTCCTGACCCCTTCAGCAGCGTAGAGGCGGTCCTTATCTCCCCGGTTCACGGTCATGACTGATCCCAACAAAACGGCCGCATCATCCTTCTCAGTTACCATCCACGTAGAGGGCTCCTTCATGTCCTCAGCCCGTCACCTCCAAAAATTGGACAGGCATTGCACAAAGAGATCCGGGATAGCCTCCACCTGACTACAGCCCGGGGCAGAGCAGCAATCATTCGTATGGTGGCACTTAGTGGATAGCCATTAGGCTGTAAGCACGGCAAGATGGTATATCAGCCATAACAACCCTGCCTGCTTCGGATCTGGCAGGGACTTCAACAACACACACTACTCCTGCCATCTGCGGTACGATCATCTGGACATCCATGCCAGGGGGATCGAATCCCTTTTGGCTTATAGATTTCGCAACTCCATAGCAATGTCCACCTTCGTAAGGAGCGAGCGATAGATGACCTTCATCGTGAGCTGATGCGGTGGGGCACTCTACTTGATATAGGGAAAGGAGGTGCCAATCCTGTGGATCAACTACCAACTCCCCCCGTGACTTGCTGAGACAGAAGGGGGGAAATTCCTCATCACTAAATTTCCCCCTTTACACACTGACACTCTCTCCACCGTCGCTGGGTCAACCCAGCAACAGCGGGCTAAGCCCTCCTGACCTGTTCCCACCAACAGGGAGCCCAGACCATCATACCCTGAGCTCCCCACCCATTCTGGTGCTTCCCATTGATCCCCTTGTCGCCCCTTACCTATTCTGTAAGCAACCGGTGGACAGTGAGCCAATGGCCGCACCATCCTTCTCAGTTACCATCCACGTAGAGGGCTCCTTCATGTCCTCAGCCCGTCACCTCCAAAAATTGGACAGGCATTGCGCAAAGAGATACGGGATAGCCTCCACCTGACCACAGCCCGGGGTAGAGCAGCAAGCTGGCACTTAGTGGATAGCCATTCGGCTGTAGGCACGACAAGATGGTATATCAGCATAACAACCCTGCCTGCTTGTGATCCGGCAGGGACTTCAACAACACACACTGCTCCTGCCATCTGTGGTGCGATTATCTGGCCATCCATGCCAGGGGGATCGAATCCCTCTTGGCTCATCGATCTGACTGTCGGAGCAGACACCCTTACAATGGTATCTGGCTCAGGTTTTTCAATGTCGAACGCTGTCCTACTTTTTCGTTAAATCGAGGCACTTGATGAGATTAACGTCTGTCAAAAGTTTATTCAGACTTAGCCTATGACCGAGAGCCTATAACTTTTATGAACCTTAATCCGGACGCTTCTGACGTCCGAGAATAGTGGCAGTAATCGGCAGTGTGACCCTTCATATGCGGGTTCTAGTAGGGCCGCGGAGGCACACGATTGTAAGAATGCTAAAACCAAGACCCATCCTACCTAAAGTAATGACGCGCGGTTGTACAGCCGTGCGATTCAGGGCCTAGGTACACCGAAAAGAGCAGCCACGTAAGATCTAGGGCCGCGACATAGGAGCAAGCTATGTATCCCCCGTGGCGGCGGACAGGCGCGGCCAAGTCCGCGGCCGCGGCCAGGCCGCGAAGCCCGCGGACGCGTCCGCGCGGACGCGTGTGTTCGCGGACGCGTGGCGACCGCTGGGGAGGGAGGATGAGGAATCGGGAAGCGCCACGTGGCGGCGCAACCCCAGCCCCACCCCATCAGGCAAAAAAAAACGAGAAAAATCAAATTTTTGGTTGGGGGGGTAAGGGCGAAATCGAAGAAAATAGAAAAAAAAAACGCGGTTTTTTTTTTTTTTTTTTTTTTTT